GTTATTAGTAGACTCACCCTAAAGGAAATTCTGAAAACAGAAAGTGGTGAAAGATAGACTTCTGGAACTTCAGGAAGAAGGAAAAAAACAATATAAGGTATAAAAGCTTGAAAGCAGTAGATTGACTTTCTTCTTTTGCATTTTCTAAATTGTTTGCCAGTTGAAACAGTTTTAGCAGAGATATGATTTTATGTAGAGAAAATGTTTAACACAGCTCTAAGGGGTGGGTAAGATTATGACACAAGTAGACTATGAAACTTTATGTAAATATAATGTAGCACATAGAATAAATGCCAAGAAAACTATACAAAATATATGCAAAAACACTATAGATAAATCAGAATGAAATTCTAAAAATGTTTAAGTAGCCCACAGGAAGATAGGGTGAAGAAAATAGAAATGAGAAACCAAGAGAACAAATAAAACAAATTAAGATGGCAAATTAGTTCCTCATATACCAATAATAACATTAAATGTAAGTGGTCTAAATATGCCAGTTAAAACACAAATACCAGCAAGTGATTGAAGACATTGCCCAATTATATGATGTTTGCAAAAAACTCATTTTAAATATAACAGTATAGACAAGTTGACCGTAATGGAAGGAGAAAGTTGTGTTATGCAAACATTAATTCAAAGGGACCACACATGCCTGTGTTAAAATCCCATAAAGTAGATCTCAGAACAAAGAAATTTTCAGATAGATAATGGGCATTATTATGTTAGATAAAGGTCAGTTCACCAAGATGACATAGCAGTCCTAAATATGATGTCTCCTAAACAGGGAGACATCACCTGTTTTTCATTTAACATTAGAACAACCAAGCAGCAAAATCAATGAGGATATATCAAGAAATATTCCATAATGTGGTCAATCAGTACTATCTAGTCCACATTTACAGAACACACCATTGAATTACAATGGAACTACATCACGTTTTCAAGTGACCACAGAACATCTACTAAAGATAGGCTATGTTATGGGCCATAAAAAGAAGTCACAAGGTGGGTGCAGTAGCACTCCAGGAGGCCAAGGCAGGAGGATCACAGGTTTGAAGCCAGCCCCAGCAATTTAGCAAGACCCTGTCTCAAAATAAAAAAATAAAAGGCTGAGGATGTGGCTAAGTGGTTAAGCACCCCTGCATTCAATCCCTGGTACCAAATATTTTAAAAAATGAAAATAAAAAGGGCTGGGGATATAGCTCAGTGGTAAAGTGCCCCTACTGCTTTCAACCCAGAGTATCAAAATAAAAACAAAAAATGTCAAAGAATTGAAGGTGGAATCAAACTAGAAATCAATAATCAGAAAGAAAATTGGAAAAAGTCTATAACCACTTGAAAATTAAAGAATATACCTCTGAATATTCCCTAGGTCAAAGAGGAAGTCTTAAGGGAAATGTAAAAAATACATTTAACCTAATAAAAATAAAGATACAACATATGCAATTTGTGGGGCATAGCTAAAGCAGTGCAGAGAGGGAAATTTATAGCATTGAATGTACACTTTGGAAAAAGGGGAAATTTAATAAGTTCTGAGGCTGTAGATGTAGCTAGTGGTAGAATGTATGTTTAGCATGTATCAGGGTCCTGGATTCAATCTCTACACTAAGGAAAAAGTTTTAGTTCCTACCTCAGGAATGTAGGAAAGAAGATGAACAAAACAATCTACCTAAAACAAGCAGAGATAACAGAAGAAATCAGTGAAATAGAGAAATAATAGGCAAAATCAAGGAAACAAAAGCTGATTCTTCAAAAAGATTACTAAGACAGCAAAAGGGAACTGTGAAAAGTTCTATACACATAATTTAACCTTAAAGCAGTGGAGCGAGCAATTCCTTAAAAATCCCAAAACTATCACACTTCTCCCAATGTGAAATACATATTTTTTACAGCCAATTGCCTTGATAACAAAATCTAAAAAGGACATGGTGAAAATAAAAACAAATGGGAACATGCCTTTATCGTTGAAGATCCCCCAAATCCTTAACAAATATTGACAAATAGAGTTAAACAGTTACTTTTTAAAAAATTCTGTACCATGAACAGATATGCCTAATTCAGGCATATAACGTGGTTTATTATTTGAAACTCAGTCATTATAATCCAATATAGTAATAGGATAAAGAAGAAAAATCCTATCATGTATTAGGTGATACAGAAAACATTTGATAAAATTGAGCACCTATTCATTGTAAAACCAAAAATACCTGTACAAAACAACAACTTAGAGAAATAAAGAACTTCCTTAGTTGTTTAAGGAACATCTACAAAAACCTAAAACTAACATTATATCTGATGGTCTAGAAATGAGTGCTTTTCCCCATAAAATCTGTCTCCAAGTGAGGATGTCTGCTTGTACTACTCTTTCAGCATAGTGTTGGAAGTTTTAATAAGAAAAGAATATCAAAGGCTTACAATTGGGAAAGGAAGAAATACTCCCTATTTGTAGATGACACAATTGTCTACAAAGAAAAATTCTAAGAAATCTACAAAAACATAACAAAAGAAAAGAAAAACCACAAAAACAGTTTGTAGAACTAATAAGTGAGTCCAGCAAGGTTGTGCAGGATACAAGACAAACATACAAAAATCGTGGTTAATGTTGGCTAGCAGAGATAAACATGGTTGGATAGTTTAGATGTCATTTATTTAATAGAAGATATATTTTAAGGGTAACATTGAGTATAACTATGATTATCTCTGGCCCCATTATTTAAGAATCTTTCAAAAACTTAATATATACTATGTGCCTTAAGACATCTGCTAGATTGATTTAACAAATTATAGGGTATACTTATGATAGCAATTTAGGTTTTAGTTAGGCATTTTTAGGTTTTGTTTTCTCCTAACACCATTTGATTTCTATTGGAAAATTAGTCACTAATAATGATACACTATTTTAATGAATATTCCTGTCATGTGATAATGTCATAACTGATATCATAGGACAGTCACAAAATCCCTGGTGTCAGATTTGCTGTAACTAAGGTTCTGATAGATTTATGTTGGCAACAACTTGTACTCTGGAGATCTACAGATTTTTTTCTTTTTTACATAAAGTGTTGCACAGGCCTATAAAAGACAGTAACATACTCTATTTGGTAAACCGTTTGTCTTTTGTACCAATAGAATAATTTTTTGACATTGTTTTCTACCCCTCTTCCTTTCGCTCCTTTCCCACCTCCTTCCCCTTCTTTTCTTAATGTCTATATCTAAATATGTCTAGAAGTTTCATTAGTAATCAGTAACTAAAAGGACCTGTTAAAGTCATCTAGTCTATTTCTCCCATGAAGAAGTCAGTGCCTTCAGGTATACTTCTGGCCATGTGACTTTTTAAGAGACAGACTTGTCCCGGAAGTCTTCTAGTAGCATTCATTGGTTTTTATTTGCTACTTCTATCTTATGATCTTTTTACTTCCTCTTTCCCACATTCATGCATCCATAATTTTCATATCTTGCTTATATTTCTAAGAATAAGGAATATTTGTTCTAAAACAATTTTTAAAATGGTCAGCGATTTCAGGAAAAAAGTGATTTGATTATGATAATTACAATAATGTTGGGAAGCAGGCAAATCATCTTTCAGCAGATAAAGATATTTGGGTTGATTCCCAAGATAACCTTTAAAGTCCATGTAATTTAGCATTTTAAGATTTTTTGTTGTTGTTGTTTTACTGTATAATGAATGGCAATTTGGGGATAAAATCAGTAGAATTAGGAAAAAATTTCCAAAGAAAATTTCTGGTAAATAAATGAAGAAAATAGTCTTTGGATCTTTATTTTGTTTTGTTTAGAATTACTTTGATCAAACTGTCAAGATTTGGGAGAACAAAAATTTTACCAATGTATTCTGTGAAGATGAGAATATTTTTAAAGGCTATGCTGTCAGAATATTTAGACATTTATCTTTCTCTTACTAGTAGACCTTAAGAGGTGACAACAGGGGCTGGGGATGTGGCTCAAGCGGTAGCGCGCTCGCCTGGCATGCGTGCGGCCTGGGTTCGATCCTCAGCACCACGTACAAAGATGTTGTGTCCGCCAAAAACTAAAAAATAAATATTAAAAATTCTCTCTCTCTCTCTCTCTCACCTCTCTTTAAAAAAAAAAAAGGTGACAACATTGCCTTATTAGGTTATAGGCTATCCTTGTGAACTATAAATATTGTTTCAGAACTAGAGTGCTGCTTGCTTAATTAAAATATATGTAGAAGGTCCAACTATGCAATATATAGTCATTATGGAAAGAAAACATTAAGGAAAGTGAAAATTTAAATTACTTTAATAGTTGGACTTCTAAGAATTTATTGATTCTTAAACCAACTGTCTTTAACACACTGATATTTAAAATGCTGTTTACACTGAGTTCTAGATTGTTACCATGTAACTATAAAATCCTTTCTCAAAATAAATTTAGGACAATGTTAAATCTGGCAAAGGATATTAAAAAGTAATAAGACGTGATGTCTTCATGGAGTTCAAAGTCTAGGGGATTAAGTAAGGGATAAATGAATTATAAATGTCAAAATTGTACAGCATATAGAAAATTCTCTTTCATGTAGGTATAAATTGTAGTAAGTTTCTGGTTTTTCTTTTTTAACCATTCATTTGCAATTTCAGTAAAACTCTTTAATTAAATAGAAATGGTAGGAGAGGCTCTCTTCTGAGTTTTCCAAAATGAGTTCACCAAGCAATACAAGTTAGAGCACTGACAGTATCCAATATGTGAAAATTTGGTTTATAGTGTGTTTAGGGTACACAAATATTCGAAATATATTTTAGTCAAATGCTTACTTAAGTTTTAAGTGGCAGAGCCAAAACTCAAGCCTGTTTGAAGAACTCTTTCTACCATATTGTATAACTTGTTTCCTTATTAAGTACAGTTTATAAATCTAGATATATTAGTTTATGGCTTATTTCCCTTTGCTTTGTGACTTAAAATATTTGGTACATATTTTAAAGAATTTGGTGCCAATCTTATGATTTTTTCTTTTCTTTCCCCAGGGAAATGAGGCAAGTTATCCTTTGGAAATGTGCTCACACTGTAAGTGGAAAATTCTTGTTTTCAAGAATTTCTTTTATTTATAAAACTATATATATATATATATATATATATATATATATATATTTGTGTGTGTGTGTGTGTGAGAGAGAGAGAGAGAGAGAGAGAGACCTCTGTAATATATGTTTATCCACATATCAAAGTTAGCCATTTGGTGTTTTAAAATGGGTAATGGAGTTGACAGATTAGTTTTAAAATTACCAGAACAAGGAGATTTTTAAATAGACTTTATTATTAATATCTGTACTATTCTGTAGTTATAAAGAAAACCCCAAATCTCAGTGATTTAACAAGTTTTTCAGATTAAGCAGATGTCAGTGTGAATTTGTTGGCGCTTTTTTCTGTTTGATGACTCAGGGGTCCACACTTCTGTGTTTTGTAATGCCAACAACTCTATGCATGATTACCAAGTGATTTGCATTGCTTATGCTCATAGTTTGTGGGCCAGAATAGTTACACAGCCCAACCAAACTGCCACAGGACTGGAAAATAAACTTCCCCTGCATTGAGGAAGGAGAAACAGAGAAGGTGCATAATAACACCCATTAAGTCTAGGGTTTTGTTTTGTTTTCTAAACAAATGGAATCACTAACTTTCGTGTTAGTGTTTTAAATCCTTTAAAATAAGAAAAATATTAATGGGTAGAGTTAGGGGTGAATTCTCTGTCTTTATTTGACTAAACAGCAAATTTTCAGAGTAAAATCTGTTGCCTAAACCCTTTTCTAATATTTAGAATGTTTTTAAGTTTGAAAAAAATCTTACATTTTTATATATGTGTTTGATAGAAGCTTAATAGTTGAAAGATTGACTATTGGAATGAATTAATTTACTTGTATTTATATTGCAATAAGAGCTTAAAAATAAAAAAAAGACTTATGCCAGTGTCTGATCACCTACAGTATATATGATGGTAGCTCTTTAATGGAATGTTTTATCAAGGCCATGTTAATTTTGATACCCTTTTAAAAAAATATAGTATGTATCTCTACAGTTTTCCATTTCAACATATTTTCGTTTTGTTTTATTACTCTTAGCCCTTGGGTGTTAGGAATTAAGTTTTTAAAAACTGTTTGAGCTAGTCATGATGGTACACATTTGTAATCCCAGAGATTTGGGAGATTGAGGCTGGAGGATTGTAAGTACAAGGCTAAGCCTCAACAGCTTTGGAAACACCCTGTCTCAAAATAAAAAATAAAATGGACTGGGGATTTGGCTCAGTGGTAGAGCTCACTTGGGTTCAGTCCCCAGTACTGCAACACAACAACAACAACAAATCACTGATAAGTAGAGAACACACCTATTTATTCTTCCTCATTGTCTATGCTAGTCATATTCCAGTATTTAGAAATAAGATTTAGCAGCTCTTAAGTCCTTGACAATTCTGCCTTTGTTATGGTTGTATTAGTTCAGTCCTATCTGCCCTACTGTTTCTGTACCTGATTCCCCCTACATCCTTAAATCCTAATTTCTTTATATCTTCTAAACAACTTTATTCCCTTAGTTGTTTTAATTTTGTTTTTATATTTTTCAATTGTAGTATGTCTGTTGGTGTTGACACTGAACTTTATTTTATATTAAGGGTGGTCAACATCATTTAGACCTTTTGGTATTTAGAAACTTTAAAACTGATAAGTACATATCTCAAGAGTCCTTTGGACCAGAGTTCTTTATATTTCTGCCACAGTTGTACTCATGTCAGATTTATGAAGTAGAAAATGAGGTGAAGTTTGTTCTACTGTTTCGGCTGGTAAGATTCTGGTTGTATTTGGATTTTTGTGTGGGTGGTGTTCTGGAGTCAGAAGCTTTCAATTTCACTATGCAGCTTCTTGATTTTAGGATGGTCAGTATGTCTTTTGAAAACACAGTTCTGCAGTGTAGCTGTTTAAATTGCTCCCAAACACTACTTACCCTTTTGTTGTTGTTGTTGTTGTTGTCTTTTAGTAGTTTCTAATATTAAAAAACAATTTCTGCTTCAACTAGGTACAGTTTGATTTTGTTGTCTTTAGTTAAACCTTGAATAAGACAATATAATTTCAGGAATGGTATAGAGGCTGTATTATCAAAAGTAATGGAAATTTGGGTTGACTCTCTGACCTTGTTGGACTTGAAAGTGGTGAGGATCCAGTTGTCATGAAGAAAGAAAGTGGGTGAGGACATCGTTAAACTGTGGGACAATTAATAAAATGTGAACTTATTGATTTTGTGATTGCATAAAATCAAATACTTAATTGAATGCAAAATTTGGAACAAATAGCTATTGCAAAAAAATTTTCTGGGGAGAATTTGAGGAACACGAATTGGCTGATTACTTCTGACTATACTGTAGAACCTAAAGAAAGAAATTCAATGCTAAGTAATTTTGTTTGAAGGATCATTTGATTGACTAGAGAGCTTATGTGTATTCTTTGGAAAAAATCGGATGTCTGGTTTGAAAGCACAATGATAGGAAAAGGAGAGATCCTTAGACCTGAAATGGAGATCATTGTTAAGATACCATGAGGTTCCCAAATCACTCTGCTCTTCAGAGAAGCAGCCCTTTTCAGCCTGTTTGATGAGTCTTTGTCCTATCTTGCTTAGAGACCTCTTACCTTTGCAATGAAGTGTCACTTCTCTTTTATATTGTTAAAACCACTTGTTGCTGTTTGTTTTGAAAAAGTCTCCTTTCTTTCTCCAGAATACTTGTTTCTTTTATTCCCATCACCACTTTTAACCTGCTTATGAGTTTGAGTGTAGTGGTCTTTTGTCAGCTCTTCACTTGGCTGCTTCCAGTTTTGTGTAAATGAAACTTTTTATCGCTCCTGACCCTCCTTGGATTCTGTCATGGGTAGTATCCTGTTTATTTTCCTGTAGCAGTGACCATAAACTGAAATTACTTATTAATCTTTCATTTTTATATTTCTACAGTGTCTTTAAAAATGCTGATATTTATGACCAATTGTCATATTCTTTCCATCTCAACCACTATTTGCGTTTCACTTCACTTTTTCTTCCCAGATTTTCCATTATGAATTTCTTAGTTAATTAGGATTGTAGGTAGGCATGCATTTCCATCTTAAATGTGAAATAAGATGTTAACATTGAGAATGTTGTTTGAATTGATGAAAACCAAACCTAAGTATGACTCTGTATACCAGGGTTGGTAAGCTACCTGCTCGTAATTTTTATTAGAAAAGTTTTGTTGTAGTAGTCATATTGATTTGTTCACATATTGTCTGTGGTTGTTTTTGTGCTGTAATGGCAGAGTTTAGTAGTTGGAACAGACTATATGATATGGTTAACAAAGCCTAAAATATTTACTACTTGACATTTCATAGAAAAAAATTGCTGAATCCTGTTGTAGCCTATAGTAGCATTCTGGGATTGAAAACTAGCATTTCTGTCACTACAGCCCAGCTAACATCTCTGGGATATGATCAAGACAGAGAAGTTACACACTGGTGCTCTTGGTGTTACATAGATCTCTAATTCTTATTCTGGCAATGTTAACATGTTAGTTTATAACTGAATTGGAGGGATTCCTTTCAAAATTATGTGATACAGTTATTCCTCTAGTTGTTGATAGAAAGAAAAGGGGTGGAGTCTGTAATTAGCAAGGTTTCAGGCTGTAATAGAGTTGGGTTTCCTTATTGCTAGTACAACTCTGATAGTGATGACATCCTGAGAAAGTTGGTTTTTATTTCTCTGTCAAGTAACAGAGGTTGTAAGGAAATCATAGTTCCCAGATATTTCTTTTTTGTTCTCTCTTTAAATTTGAGACTGAATATATTAAAGCATAAGGCCTGATGTATGTTCCCTTTTACACATCCAAAATGTCAGTTTTACTTTATTTTTAAAGGTGTGGTAAACATTTAAAGATTTCATTCACTGTGAAAGCAGTCCCTTTCTGTTGCTAGGGATCATAGTTGACAATGATCATTCTACCAGTTCTGAATATCTAAAAGTTACCTGTTTCAAGTCCCCCCCCCCCCCCCCCCCCGCTGTTCAGTGTTTGGTTTACTCTAATGTAATATATTTTTAACATTTTATGCATAATTTGGATGAATTTCCCCCAAATGAACTTGTGTATGTTAAAACAGTCACTTTTTTGTCCGCCCAACAACTATAGTAAATTTCTTTACTTTTTACCAAAACCTCTTCATTATTGGAAGAACTCAGTTGTTACTGTAAACAGCTACTATCATTTATAACATTGTTAAAACCAATCCTTGATGCATTTCATAATTTATACTTCTCCATTCAGGTTAATTCCTCTGATGTTTTTTCATGCCTTAAAACCCAGCTCATTGTTCTCTGTGAGACCTTCTATAATTGTCCTGCCTTTCAGTGTCTCTTTTCACCAAGTTAATGTTTCCTCCTTTTTGTGTATAAATTGTGTTACCTTTAAAAAGGTAGAGAGACTCTGGATCATAAGCTATAGGTAAGCACCCACAGAATGCTTACAGTCTAAATACTGAAAAAAGAGGCATGCATAAAATAACAATGTAAAGTATTAATAGACATAAAAGCACATGTTCCAAAGAGGGAAAATCATCTTTGGGTAAGCAAATTAAGAAAGGCTTCATGGAAGGGCTGATGTTTGAAATTGGTTTTGAAAGCTGTGTAGGATTTGAACGTTGATAAATTGTTGGACTTGTCTTGGTTATTTCTCCCTCTCAGTCTGCTCAAATTTCACTCATATCATCAGCATTCTGTCCAGACCTCTACATAATTCTTTGCAGTTTCCTATCTTTAATAAATGATTTTGCCTTCTAATTCTTGAGAAAACTGAGGACATTTTAAGTGTTAACCTCTTTGCTTCCTCATCCCCACCTGCCATTCACTCTCAACCTCCTTTCCTTCGGTATTAGGTTTGGAGTTTTGCTTCCCTTATTCAAGGCTAGCCTTTCTGCTATGCTTTGGACCTCCTCTGTCTCATCTCTAGGACCTTACTTTGTTAGTTTCTCTCTTATGTCTTCAGCTTCTGTCTTTCTCTTAGTTTACAA